CTGAGAATATGCTGGAACTTTTGTTATATTGTTATATTAAGTTATAGTTGCCCCCTGTTTTTGATTTTGAAAATGAAAATTAAAAAAAAACTATATAAATTAAATGATAATACTAATTATATACAGATGCAATAGAAGTAATGTGGCTTAAGAAATATAAATTCTCTTAATTTTTCTTGATTTTGGTCAATATATGCTGAAAATTTAGCAAGAAATTTTGATAATTATAATTTCTCATATACTTATTTTCAAAGATTCATTGTATGGCACGCTTTCATTTGTTAGAAAACAACGATTTTAAGATCGTTGTACATACTCTAGTGCTATACAATATACACATATGTATATTGTAAGCACACTTAACTGAAATCTTAATTATATTGGAGCTAATCTGGTTAGATTGCACCTGATGTTGTTATCTTATTATTACCAATTTATATATAATATAAATTTCTTTGGTCTTAGATTTTGTTTTGTATTCTAATTTACATATAAATCATAATCCTAAAATGGTCATAGATTGTTGCAATCACTGCTACAAAAAAAAAAAAAAAAAAGAAAATAAAAAACAAATTTATCTACTTTTGATACTATATATATATCTAATATATATAATTATTGCAAAAAATATTGCACAAATAAAATATAAAACAACTATTAAGCCTTGCATGACGGATGCAGGATCATTTTAACACAATGATATTCATACTTTGTTCTTTGTTTTGAAGTGTTATAATTATAAATAAACAATATTGAAATATTCAATATTTTTTCAATAAATTAATCAGAATTATTGATTGTCTCAAATTATATAATAAAGCAAAATTAAAGTAAGGAATTCAGATCTGATACATCACAAACAAAATTTTTGTTTTTTAATACAATAAATATTATTATATGTATATATTTATGGTATTTTGAATCAGAATTCTCTCCTTAAAAGTACAATAAAAAAAATTCTTTGCTTTTCTATGCTATATCGTATTGATTCTGCATCGATCTGCCGCGTCGCTATCAAAACTTCATTGTTTGAAGTTTAATATCTTAATATTGTTTTGATTGTTCATAAAAAATATAATTTAAATATTGATTACATCAATATCAATATTAATAATCAATAAAGATAACAAAAATATTATGTACTAATGAAATTTGTAAAAGAATATGATTATTTCTAGTATATTATTTTAATTTTATTAATATAAGCATTAAAATAATTGATAATTCATACTGATTATATATTGATTTGATATTTTCATTTTAATTTAATGAAAATATATTTCTAATCAGGTATTGGAACAACCTTATGACTATCCATGCACACTTAAATTTTGTAGCACACAATCTGTTTGAACATTAAATAACAGTGTGCATTCATATAAAACAGCATGCATTTCATACATGTAATATTTTACTGGCAAAATATATACATAGTGTATAATTTCAAGTTAAGCTCATAAGCCACTGAAGATTCTACTTTCTGATTGATATATTATTGATAGAATATAAATGATAAGTTATTTAACTTTTAATTTATTTAAAATAATAATATTTAAAAATTCATTTTTTTTTGTCTTATTAAAGTACAAAAAATTTCCTTCTTGAATAACAGAAGGTATAGTTTAAGAAAATATTTTAGCGCGTCATAAAATTTCTCTTGCTCACATAACAACAATTTTGTGATTGTTACCATTTGGCAAGAGAACATAATAGACACGCTTCCCCTTATCTCATTGAAATTCTTGTATATTATTATGATACTGATTATTAAATGAACCATTTGGTTGTTCATTTCTTTCAATAACACTTTGCATTTCAACCGTTGATCCATTATTAGACTGTCCATTACTATTATTTAAATTCCCAGAATTATTAACATTACTTGTTACTATGTTTATATTATTTGTATTAGATTGTTGTGTTTGTTGTTGTTGCTGCTGACCATTTACAGTATTATGAGAAGAATTATTATTCTTTGATCTGTGCCTAAGTTTATGAGTTGTAAGATATTGTTTCACAGAGAATGCTTTGTGACAAATATCACATTTGTATGGTAAAGGATCCTGACAATTTATACCATCTCCAATAGTTGAAGCATGAGTTGTTAAATGCATTAAATAATAATGTTTTACTACAAATGATTTTCCACAAGTTTCACAAATATACGGACCCGATACACCATGCGTTTTACGATGTTTGTGAAGATTGTCTTTTCGAGAAAAATTTTTACCACACATTTCACATTGATGCATCTTTTCACCTGTATGAGATACAGAATGCCTAACTAAATGTTCTTTGCGACTAAATGCTTTTGAACACGTAGTACACACATAAGGACGTTCACCAGTATGTAGTTTTCTATGTTGATAAAGATGTTCTTTCCGTTTAAATGGTTTACCACAAACATCACAACTAAATGAATTGCTATTATTTTGTAAAGAATCTTCTTTATTATTACTATTATCAGATGTTTCATTTAAAAGATTTTGAACAGAGCAATTATGACCATTTAATTGATTTACGGAAGAAAAAATTTTGCCACATTCTTTACAAGTAGTATTCCTATGATTTTGTGAAATAACTTGAGGATTGACAGTAATTAGAGATGTTGGTTCAGGTCCTGATTTTATTCTTAAAAATTCGGAGATTTGCCCGATTGAGTTGCGAGATATTGCATCTTCTGATTTAAATTCTTTTGTCTCTTCTCGAACAGTTTGTGTAACTAAAGGTGCTTCTTTAAATCCTAAATTTAAAAATACTTCTGGTGTGGCTTGTACAGTATAACTTTGTACATTTTGAGTACCACTTTCATCTTTTGGAGTTTCAGATTGTACTTTCTG